GCAGCCAAGCAGCCAGTGGCATAAAAACCAGCCGTCAAAGTTGGAAAAAGGGGAACTTGAGGGGAGAGCTGTTGGAAGGAAAGGTACACAAGTTCCTGTTCTTTAAAAGCAATGAGCGAGTTCTTGAGAGCTTCCTTGCTTTCTTCCTTGCTTTTTAGTTTGACCTCTGTTTGCAGAGACTCACAGGAGGCACTGTACTGTAAGAGAAGCAGAGCCTTTGCTCACAGTGGAGCCCTGATTAATGGACTTATCTCAACAGCCAGTCAGCAGTGCATAAGCTGCAACGCACAATAGCCAGAAACAGAGCTGAAAACAGGGGAGTTTGTGTGGAAGTTTGTAAGGGGAGTGTGTGATTGTTTTATGGAACAGAAAAGTATGCTGTCTGCCAGGCCTTAAGATACCACAAGTGGGCCTGAGGCTGAAGAGGATCCTAATGAGAGCAGAAAAGAATCCACAATAATTCAAATGATTTTTAGTGGGGATCTGCCTGTTTCTAGAGGAGAAGAGCTAAGGTGGGGCAAGATTCTGATGATCAACAGTGGATACTGATGTTATAAAGAGGACTTTGGGATGTTCAACCACTGTGAGGTATTCACAGACTGAATACTGTTCTCATGGAATGGATTCCTTTTGAGTAGGAAGGAAAATAGACTTCTGGGATTGGAAACTGATATAAACGATTAAAAGAATTTGGGGAAGATGGTTGGGAGATATTCATTTAATCACCATACCTGAATCTAATATTGAGCAGGAGGAAAGTCAAATAAGAGGACAGAGCAATGGATAAAAGAACAACAGATAGCAAGAGAAAGGAATCCAGAGGAAAGATAGTGTCATTGATATTATTGGCAGTAGAATGATTGTACCTAATTAGACAAAGAACATAAGAATGACCGTACTGGCTCAGAGCAAAGGATGGGGGGAGGGATAGCTCAGTGTTTTGAGCATTGGCCTGCTAAACCCAGGGTTGTGAGTTCAATCCTTGAGGAATCTGGGGCAAATCTGTCAGGAATGGTACTTGGTCCTGTTGTGAGGGCAGGGGACTGGACTCAATGACCTCTCAAGGTCCCTTCTAGTCCTATGAGAGAGGTATAACTCCATTTGTCTATCTAGCACAGTACCTTGTCTTCTGACAGTAGCCAATGATGGGTGCACACAGAGGGAATGAACGTAATAAGGAATCATCAAGTGATACCACCCTTGTCATCCATTTCCAGCTTCTGACAAATAGAGGCTAGGGACACCATTCCTACCCATCCTGGCTAATAGCCATTGATGGACCTAATCTCCAGGAATCTTTTTTGAACCCTATTAAAGTCCTGGTCTTCACAACATCCTCTGGCAAGGAGTTCCACTGTTGACTGTGCATTGAATGAAGAAATACTTCCTTATGTTTATTTTAAACCTGCTACTTATTAATTTCATTTGGTGACCCCTGGGTATCTGGGTGACTCTAAGTAGAGACAACTAAAGTGTCTGTACACCAATGCAAAGTGACTGAGGGAGCATCTACACTGCACTATTTTTCCAGATTAACGGCCATTATTCCGGAAAAACAATACTACTGCAATAGAGTTATTTCAACAGAAAGTCGAAATAACGGACAGCTTTTTCCAATGGCAGTAAACCTCATTACATGAGGAATAAACCCTTTTCCAAAAAAGCTTTTTTGAAAGAGGGTGTGTGTAGATGCTCCACTGCTGCTATTCGAAATAGCTCCTCACCAAGGCCATTCTAAAGTTATTCTTCCCCAGTGCCTCCTGGGGCTCTAAGTCGAGGTAGCACATCCACATTAGGGAAGCCTGCCTTGGACTAATTTTGAGGCTTCTCTGTAGCGTGAACTCTCTATTTCGAAATAAGCTTTTCTGGAAGATATCTTCCAGAAAAACTTATTCCAAAAAATCTTGCTGTGTAGACATACTCTGAGTAACAAAATGAAGGAACTAGAAATAATAGTGTAGGGGGTATATAAGTGTTATAGGGAAGCAGAATATTATAACAGAAACATGATGGAATTATAGTAATGATGGGAGTAATGATATTGAAGGGAATGTGCAGGTCAGGAAAGTCAGAAATGAAGATAAAGGTGGTGGAGTAACATTATCTATTAATGATGTGGTAGACTGTAAAGCAAGTAGTTAAGTTGGAGAAGATGGGGATTAACAGTGCTTCCACCAGAACTGCCGAGCTCTAGGTAAAGTGTGTGTGGGTGTGACTCTGGGCCCCCACAAAAATAGAATCTGTGGGAATATGGGGCAGAACTAGGGCTATCCTACCCCAGCCAGCCCTTTTGTGATGGCTAGCCCACTCCGCCTGGGGCTCTGATGGTGATTTAAAGGACCTGCAGCTCTGGCTGAATTATAGTGGCAGGGAATGCATGTTGCCCATCTGCAATTGCTTATAGCAAATATCTCCAATGTGACATTGGATGGGGAGGGCTCTGAGCTAAGGATGTTATAGTCTAGTCGATTAACTGATATGCAAAAGCTTATTGGTTAATGCAATAGACTACAAACATCCCCGCCCCCCTGGAAATAATTTTTTATCAGGCTGGCCAGCAGCCTGGCTCAATCCAAGCTTGCGCTGGGTCTGGGACCTATCCTCTCTGTGGCTCTGCATTTAAAGTATTAGGAGCTAGATAGGCAGGCAGCCCGGCTCAGTTCCGGCTCGTGCCAGGTCCGAGAGCTTAGACCGCACCCCCTGTTGCAGTGCAGGGTGACAGGCAGCTGGTCTGCAAAGGGGAGCTGGTTTTTAATCAATCTCCCCTCATGGACCAGCTCTCTCCTGGCACCCCGTGCTGCTGCCTCTGGGAAAAAGGCAGCAGCGTGGAGTGGCAGGGGGCTCCCCGAGAGCAGGGCTGGAATGCACTGGCTGCCAGCCCCACCACAGGGGACTAACCGATTCAACTAACTATTCAACTAACTGATATTTAACCTCCCTACTCTGAGCTACTATAGTGGCTTTTTTCCCAGGTGTCTGTCTGTTGCGTCAAACTGATTATTTCAAAATAATTTTAGTACAGATTTTATGATGCCTTTATATGCTATAATTACATAAGAGCTCATCGTAATTCCATAAATACATCTAATTAGTGTGACTACACATATTCACTTAATGTAGCTAGACATAATTACATAAATCTGCCCTAACCAGCAAAAGTGATAATATTTAAAAGGTCTGAAATATTCATACAGCAAAAATTAGATTTAAAAAGGGCATAGGTGCAGGGGTGAAAAATCCATGGCACTATGCTAATAGGGGACAATTGGGGTGTGTCTACACTGCACCATAGTTCAAAATAAGATACACAATTTGAGCTACACAAATTGCATATCTTATTTTGATGTTATTTTGAAATAGCTTATTAAGTCTACAGAGCACTTATTTTGAAATAAATTGCTATTCTGAAATGCCCCTTACTCCTCATAGAATGAGATTTGCAGGGATGTCGTAATAGCGAGCCCATTATATTTTGAAATAATGGATACGCTCAAAAGATGTAGAATAGTGATTTCAGGATACCTCTGGTATTTCAGGATATCCTGAAATAGCGCTGCAGTGTAAACGTAGTCTTGTAGTTCAGGGTATATCATAGATGGGACAGTTCTCACCTGGATTGCCACATGATCCACATAGATGGTATGTAGATCTCAGTGTCCCTTTGGGTCAGACCCACTTTTCAGGACTCTTCACTTGCCTGATCTCTCTGATGAAGAGATCAAACTCTGAAGTGGAGCTTGCAGAATTAGCTGTGTAATGTTTTCTCTCCCTTGGATAAGAAATGTATCTTCACCAGGTAAAAATCCCATTTATGAATTGGCAGGTCATATTGGAAAAAGCATCTATAATCACACATTACTTTCTTAATCCAGCATTTGTTCCAGCATTGTACTTCTGTGTGCAGGTACATACTATCTGCAGGTACATTACAATTACAGCACTGTCTAATACAAGGTATACACTAAGTAAACCTTGATAAAGCTGTACATAATGATTTGTTCTTGCAGCTTCACCTGGAAGCTGTGCTGGGAGCTCTTTGAAGGTCTTTTGTGAGGCTCTCTAGATGATTAGATGCTGAAGGCTCCAAAAGAAATATGCAGGCATCGCTTCTCTCCTGTTCCACAGACAATTAAAGCATTATGAAAAAATATGCTTTAGCTCAACTGGAAGATATGGCTTTGATGCAGAAACGACTGGGTGAAATTCTGCAGAATACAGTTCAGAAGAGGTTAGATTCTAATAAAATCAGAGGGAACCACTCCATCTATAACATCTATTCATTTGTCTTCCCTCGGGATTATCAACTGAGGCCTAAATTCACTGTTCTGTATAATCATCCCTTCACTCACAAGTGGGTGGAAGTGTACTTGACTGGGGAAAAAAATGTTAAATAATGAAATAACCAAAGAAGCTGTACATTTTTTCCTCTTCTTAATATCATCCTCCAAAAAAAATCCCATTATAAAAACGTATCCTATATGCAGAAATTGCCAAAAAGAACCAGGAGGAAAGAGGATGACTTAGTTTTGCATTGCTTCATTCACTTATAACAACCATAACTCTTCCTTAGGAGAATGGTAAGGAAGGATTACATCACACATGTCTCTTAACTAGCCTAGCCCCAGCTAGAAAGAGACCTTTATACTCTGTGGGCAGGGGAACAAAATATTCAACCCTGCTGGTTTCCTAAGAATTGTCTATCCTGTGCCAGAGCCAGTCCATTCAAGATGACAGTTTGAATAAAGACTAAATCCACCCCAGACTGAATGACAATGCCTATCTTTATTGGCCTAACTCATAGGACAGTCTCACTCCTTCCCACAACACCATGGAGCATATTACCCAAGGAACATGCAGTAAAGTGATACAGAAAGACTTGTTCCCTCAGTTTTGAGCATATTTTCTTAAGGGCTTAATTATACAGTATTTTGAACATGAATTTAAAATAGGAAATCTTTTTATACTGAAAGTATATTCTCTCCTCTTGTCTATTCATGCAGGTGGAAGCTGTGCAGATATGATTTTGTGCTTCTGGAAAACATTGAAACAATCTTCAAACCTATTCCATGCCAAGGGAGGGACAAGTGAAAAGGGAGAGCCTCCACTAACTTGCTTCCTTTTATAGAAAATAGTGTGTTTCATTCTCTCTTAGGACCAAGACCTGAAGTGAGGAGGGAAATGAGGCAAAACAGGCTCAGTTTCTGAAGTCAGAATGATAATCTTTATTGCTTTCTTGGGCTATGGTAGAGTGAAATACAACCACCAATTTAGTCAAATTTTTAAAAACAAATGCATGATGGCAGAACACATACTATGGTCTATTAGCTATTGTTTGTAAGCAGTAAGAATTTTCTAGGAGCCCATTGAATTAAATGTAACTATCTGCTCTGATCATGGCAGATGGTTGTCATGTATTATACATTTATTTTTTATATCTTTCATATTAAGACATAATTATTTGTCTGTGAACTCAATATGCTGTACAGGTGATACAGAGAACAATTATGTGTAATTTTGGAGTCCTATTTTCACTGAAATAGTCATTTGAATTTATTTCATTATCTGCTACCTCTGTTTATGGAAACCAGAAAAATAGTTCATATTTGTACAAACATATATCATTTTGCTGTTTAAAGCAATTTTCTTTCTTCTCCAGTGTCTTCACTAGGAAGTCTGCACTAGGAAACTATTTCAAAATTAGCAAATTTTGGCTTAATAACTCCCAATTTAACAAATTCTAACTAGCGTCTCCATGCTACAGGAAAGCATAGAAATTAGTCTGAGGCAGGCTCCATTAATGCGGATGTGCTACCTCAGACTTAGAGCCCCAGAAAGCACTGGGGAGCAATTATTTCAAACTAGTGGCACTGGAGCATCCACACTGCCATTATTTTGAAATATCTATTTTGGAACTAGCATTACTCCTGATGAGAAGAAGGAGTACAGATTTCAATTTCCATGGCCCATTATTTCCAAATAACAGTCTTGGTAGTGTGGATGCTCCACTTATAAATTCAACCTAGAGGGCGGTATTTCAAAATAAAAGTCCTACTGTAGACCTGAGCTTAAAGTGTTTGTCTATTAATGGGAATAGATAAGCAATTGACATGCAGGTACGAAGAAATTGAGATGTCTGCTTATGGCCTGTGTTATACAGAAAGTCATACTAGATCACACAATCTTGGAATCTATGAAGCTTTGAATATGCTTATAAAGAAGAAACTGTGTGGCAATAGGAATGGTATCTACAGTAACTAGATTTTACTGCAGGGGGATATGAAATAAGTCTAGAACTCTGGATATACACGACTATCTGCCTACACATCTGTTGTACTCATGACAGTAACACTCAAGAATGCCTGTATATAACTGCTGCCTTTTCTATTATTTGTGTAGCTCCAGTTTTTCAGAGTGCTTGAAAGACATTAAATTCTGAAATATTGTAATGAAATATTTTACTCACTAAATCATAAAATATAACTTTTATTATTTTGCTTATAGTTGTGTTCTAACTGTAATGGAAGAGTCTCTAACCATTAGAAAACAGACATGTCCCAAGAGTGAACTTAGAATCTGTAATTAGCCAATATATTGCAGTAATGTCAAAGGGACCTAATTACCAGTTACTTGCAGTAATGCACTTAACATTCAGTTTTAGCCATATGTTAAGTGGTTTGGGAGGTTTAATGCAGTGTTTATGTTTAGCACTTACTATTTCACAGGAAAAGATAAATATGACAGTTTATTGCAATTCAATTTCTGATATCAATTAATTTCCATTAAATTAATCCAAACATAATCTGATTTTGCTGAATCCATGTTTTCTACTAGCTATAACTTTCAAAAAATACCATGTAGAAAATATAGGGAGAAACTCATTGAAAATTGGTTAGAAATGGAGTCAGTAATCAATTTTCAGTAAAGAAAGATTAACTATATCAATATTATTTAATAGTGTCTTGAAATGTGCTAGATTGAGAATAATTTACACACAGACATGTGAGTAACTTTGCACACGTGAACGGTCTCACTCATTGCCAGGCAGTGTGGTGAAAGCCAAAACAATATTTTTTAAAAAATAATTGATTAATTAAGTTCATGGAAGACAGGTCCATCAATGGCTGTTAGGCAAGACAGTCTGGGAGGCAACCCCATGTTTAACATGTCTCTAGTCTCTGATTGACAGAATATGGTAGTAGGTGACAGGGAGGGATTGATCACTTAAGAAATGCCTGTTCTGAAGAAATGCCTATTCTGTTCATTCTCTCTGAAGCACCTGATATTGGCCACTTTTGGAAAATGGGATACTGGACTTAATGGACCATTGGTCTGACCCAGTGTGACTCTTCTTTATGTTCTTATCAATGGAACTGCACACCTGAGTAAGGGTACATCTACACTGCATGCCTATTTCAAGATACCAGAAGAATCCCGAATCAGCTATCCCATGTCTACATAAGCCGCCCGTTATTTCAAAATATTTTTTGAAATAATGTGTGCACTATTTCGGCATCCCGGAAACCCTCATTCCATGAGGGTTATGGGATGTCTTGAAATAGCACATTATTTCAAAATTTGGCGCTGTGTAGATGCGCCAAATTTCAAAATAAGCTATTTCAAAACAGATTCAAAATAAGATATGCAAATTGCGTATCTTATTTTGAGTTTAGGGTGATGTGTAAATGCACCCTAAAATGTGAGCATGTTTAATTATTTATCTCTTTTTATAAAAAGTCTTGAACATGTGCATAAGCAAAATATAGGATTTTAGTTGCTGGTTGTCTGTACATATACTGTCAATGAATTGGATAGAGAGGTTAAAAGAAAAAAGCCTGTGGTGATTTTAACAAAATTAATAGAGTTTTAAAAGAATTAAAACTGTTGTCAGAAGAGGGCAGCCTTTTCACATAAATTGTAAACAAAACAACAAGGAAAAACATGCCTTCAAATTATTTCTCTCATTGGGATTTCATGTGCCACTAACAAAGGAGTCTCACTATGAAAAGGAGACTACATTAAACAAAAAACAAGAGTAATTATTTATTGTGCTACCAGGTTTTCGGTGGATGGGATTGTTTGTTTTTTAACATTATTAATTTTTTCTGGTGTACATAGAAAATATTATAATTGTCTTTAAGGTGAGTCAGGAAGGGAAATACCTCAGTTCATCTGTTAGTTTCTTACCCTAAAAGACAAAGATGTTTTTCAGAATCTGGCAGTACATCTTAGTCTTAAGTGTAAAGTGTACCTGCTCTGTTTAAATGGTGATCATATCTATGGGAGATGTTCTCACAATAAGAGCTGCCATGAGACAATAGGTTAGTTTCAGCTGAGCTAAGAGAGAAAAAGCATTATCAGGGGAGTAAATGCATAGTTTTGTATTCCTTTACTCCTCTTCTATGTACAGAAGATTAATCTGTTTCCATATGTATTACATTCAAAATACCTAGTCATGAAAATTGTCATATTAAATTCACATTTCTACCATGATTTGTGAAGTATGAGTAATATAAATGGACCTTATACTGTATTGTGGTTACATGCATATCCATGCCATAATCTTTCCCAGTCTTATTGTAACCAATGTACTTCAAAGGGGGAAAGCACAAGAAAACTAAAATTAGGATGAACAACAAATTATACATGACTTTAATGAAGACAGCTGTAAAGGATTTTGTGTGTTGCTATTGCCTTTGGCTTGGAAAGACCTTCATATAATATATTTGTGGCTCCTCCACTTGTGAATAATGAGATCCTCAATAAGTCATGGCAATACGTTAGGGTATGTCTACACTACCCTCCTAATTCGAACTACCATTACTCCTCGTGGAATGAGGAGTAATGGTAGTTCGGACTAGGCTTCCTAATTCGAACTACCATTACTCCTCGTGGAATGAGGAGTAATGGTAGTTCGGACTAGGCTTCCTAATTCGAACTACCATTACTCCTCGTGGAATGAGGAGTAATGGTAGTTCGGACTAGGCTTCCTAATTCGAACTACCATTACTCCTCGTGGAATGAGGAGTAATGGTAGTTCGGACTAGGCTTCCTAATTCGAACTACCATTACTCCTCGTGGAATGAGGAGTAATGGTAGTTCGGACTAGGCTTCCTAATTCGAACTACCATTACTCCTCGTGGAATGAGGAGTAATGGTAGTTCGGACTAGGCTTCCTAATTCGAACTACCATTACTCCTCGTGGAATGAGGAGTAATGGTAGTTCGAATTAGGAGGGTAGTGTAGACATACCCTTAAATACTCTGGGTGCAATCCACGAAACAGTCTAGCTACCTAAATCCCTGGGGCTACGTCTACACTGGCATGATTTTTTGAAAATGCTTTTAACGGAAAAGTTTTCCGTTAAAAGCATTTTCGGAAAAGCACGTCTAGATTGGCAGGATGCTTTTCCTCAAAAGCACTTTTTGCGGAAAAGCATCCATGGCCAATCTAGACGCAGTTTTCCGCAAAAAAGCCCCGATCGCCATTTTCACAATTGGGACTTTTTTGTGGAAAACAGTACTCTGCTGTTTACACTGGCCCTCTTGCGCAAATGATTTGCGCAAGAGGGCTTTTGCCTGAATGGAAGCAGCACAGTTTTTCCGCAAGAACACTGATGATCTTACATGAGATTGTCAGTGTTCTTGTGGAAATTCAAATGGCCAGTGAAGACAGCTGGCAAGTTGATTTTGCGGAAAATGATTTTGCGGAAAAACTTGCCAGTCTAGACACAGCCTCTGGTGTGTAACCATTTCAAGATACTGCTGCTTGGCTGCTGCCTCACCTATGTACCTAAATTTGCTCAGTGCCTAATTTTCCATTGTTGAAGTTCCCTAGATGCCTTAGTTTGAGATCCTGGTGCATGCATACTGCTGTCTCCTTCTAGGTGCCCGGGCACCCATCCTCTGCCTAAGAGATATGGCAGTTCACAAACCAGGATAGGTGTTCATCTACCTCATTTGTTTGTGGGCTGGATCTGGTAGATGGCCTTGGAGCGAACCTACTAGAACCAATTGAAACTGAAGAAAAAGGTGTTGGCGGTGCCTATGTTATAACTTCTAATCCAGCATTAGAGCACATTCCTGCAATATGGATATGCAGGTTCAATTCTACCTTCTTTGTGAGAGGGTGCAAGGATCTGCACAGAGGACTCTGAGGTGTTCTGATGTAGAGCTCCTTCAGTCTCTCCTGTAAAAGTCATTTCATTGTGGATAAATAATGAATGAGTGGAACAGGGGAACCAAACCCATGATCTCCCAGCTAACCACTGGACTTCGGTCATTTCTTCTCTCTGTCCCACCTCTTCCCTCCTCGGATTATTTAAGTATTTATTCACAATGGAACAGTCACTGAGCCATAGAGAGAACATCTCCCACTGGCTAGGTAAGGTAGATGGCTGTCTGCCTAATGTATGGGCTTTGGTGGATTGTCTTTTTTTGCCTTTTGCCCCACCATACACAGGTGCCTAACTCAGGATTTGAGGATCACAGCGTTGTCCATATGATTTTTCAAAGCACCTAAAAGCTATGCACTGTGATGCTTAGCCTTGTAACACCTAAGACATTTTGTGGATAGCACCTCTTGCCTATCTAGGTTTTTATAAGGTCACCCATCACTGTGATGTTTAAGCATCTTCCATCAGAAGTAAACACTGGCACAATATTTATCCAAACTTGTATCAACAGCTGTCAGTATTAGGAAAGTATAAGCTCATTCTTATAATGTAAGAACTACACCTCACCCAAATCTTTTCCCAAAATTTGAGTTTAACTAAACTCAGAGGGCTCCTCAGCTGATATAAATTTGTGGAACTGATTTATACCAGGTGAGGA